ATATATATACTCTAGTTCAATCCATATATAAGCCTAATCAAACAGTTTTTTAATTCATTACCGAATGTGAGGATAATGATGTACAAAAGATGCAATTGCTATCGAAAATTTATATAGAGTTCAATCTTTTTGATCAACATTTCCTGTATTATTCCTGTATTCAACTCCCATATTAATTGTAATTCTAAATCTTCGCGAGTAATAAGACTGTAAGAAAGTAATTAATACTTTACTAATAATCAAATCATTGGAATTTCCATCCAAGATAAATCGATGATCTTTGATTTATGTCAAAGAATAAGATTTATTTCTTTTTAATATTTTGTAATAATATCTCATTTTGAGCGGTCTATAACTGGCGACATAATTTAGAATTTGAAATAAAAAGTTCTATTCCTAATTTTATTCCCAATAGGAGCATACTCTAAGCAAGTAGCCCAAAATATGCACAATAATTTAAATTCCTATATATGTAAAACAATTTGATGAAGAAAAAACGGTAACAAAAAGTTGAAGCTCGAAGTACCTGCGCTTAAAAATATTTTAGAGATAGAAACTATCTTTAAGATTTTTTAGAAAAATTGTTATATAAATTTCGACTTTGGCTTGAAAAAACAGCAAATTCTGATAAATTTTATCCATTAATTCGTTACATAGATTAATTTTAAATTTTAAATCATAATATATTTAATAATCAATATATCAACATAATTTTTTTGCTTTTTAAAATTTTTCAACAGAATAGGTATAAATTAAAATTATATAAATGGATTAATAAAGAAGAGACAAGAAAACCACAGTTATTTCATCACAGTGCTTTAATGTTGTGTTTTTTAGTTTATATATCAGACATTTTTCTGGCATCAGATCCCTTCTTCATTGTAATAAGATTAGGAAAATAATTATTCAAAACTTACATACATATATAAAATAAAATAATGAATTTCGCACACTAATTATTATAATTGTACCAAATTTTAAAAAGTAAAACATACTAATCAGTTTGTGTATTTGTGTATTCGCGATACGCAAACTGATTAGAGTTTCACTTTTTTAATTTTGGTGTAATTAGTTAACATGCGTAATTAATTAATTTTATTTTATATGTGTGTGTGCACTGATTTTTAGTAATTACTTTCTTAATCATGTTATATTGAAGAAAGCTTGATGCCAGACAAAAATTATAATATAAATTATAGTACACAAATTTAAAGAATGAATAACAAGATGTGGTTTTCTTATCTCTTTTTTGCTAATTAAATTTTTAATCGTCAGAGCTCTTTTTTCGTTTTTATTTATTTATAAAACTAGGAATATAAAAATAATTTTTATACTGTCTTTATTAAAATAATTGAAATATTTTGATCTCGTTGCTATCATTTCAGATACGCATTTGTATATCAAAAATAGAATCGTTACATAAAATAATATCAAAATCTCTTTTGCCAGTGGATTGTAGTAGTGAACAACCATCAATGGATGTTTTAACAAGTACAATATCATCAATATGTGTGTGTTCTGAATACAATTTTATCAATTTAAAAACC